TTTTTTTGGTCAGATTTTTGCAGAATGCTCGGAACAACTCTGGGGCTTTTGCTGGCACAAGATTCAGTTTTTGGTAATTACCGTTTCATGAAATGAGTCACAATACTGTAAGTTGTTCTTATCATTTCTACCCCGAGTTTGTATATGCACCGCTCAAATTTATATTTGAGGTTTATTAATCTGGAATTTTGTCAACACAGTTACACAATTAACATCTGCTCAAGTTTTCTTTTTTGTCTCATGCTCTAGATTCGTTTTGCATATACTTCATCTGGTTTCTAGGGTTTCATTATTATTCCATCATAAGTGAAAATCAATTTTCTTCCCATTAAGTTTATACAATCATCATTAGTTTTTGGTGCTATGTTACTGCTAATTGATGGATTTTGTTCTATTTTTAATCTTTCCAGGTAATTTAATTTATTTGTTATTGTTTTTTTTTTTTAAGCTTGATTGGTTCTTTGTTACTGTTCTTTTTTCTGCCAAATATTGAGACTTTCAAAAATTTGATTCAATAATTCGTCAAAAGTTGCTCAAGCAAAGCATCTTAAGGAAAATTTCACCCTTCTCATTTGGAATTATTTATTTATTTAAAAATAAAAAAAAAATAACTGGACAAAAATAAGAAAAAAAAAACGAGTAGAAAAAAATAAAAAAAGACGTATTTGATAAATCCGTTTTTTACTATAAAACGGATTTTACAAGTTAAAACGTCTTAAATTTATTCGTTTTACTAAAAATAATTAATTAACATAATTAATGTAATTAAGTTAATTACATTACAAAAAAACGTGTTATATTAATACGTTTTATAATTAAAATTAATATTTTTAATTATAAAACGGATTCGATTTATACGTTTTTCAAAAAAATTAATTTTAAAATAATTAAAAATAAATTTTCTGCGGAAAAAAATTTTTGGAGATATAAAACGTATTTCACAAATACGTTTTTGAAAAAAATTAATTTTAAAATTATTAAAAATAAATTTTCTGCGAAAAAAAATATTTGAAATATAAAACGTATTTGTGAAATACGTTTTCTTTGTAATTTTTCCCCCAAAATTCATTTTGCCCTAATTTTGACCTAATTTTGACCTAATTCATAAAACGGATTCATAGAATCCGTTTTTCTCTGTAGAAAAATGCAAAATATTTTTTTGAATCCATTTCACAACCTGTTCAACAAATCACAACCGGTTCAAGCAACTAATATGAATCAAATCGCCCAAAATAATCCAACATAAAGTATATCCAAAAACTCAACGACAATAATTAATTCAAAACACAAATATGAGTATACAAAATGAAAAGAAAATTAACACAAATGTTCACAAAATTCCCTGAATACAATACAAACTAATTCGGAGTGTATCGATTCGTAGGATTGCGCTGTCGTTGGCTGATCCGACGTTGTTCTTGTCGTGAAGAAGACGATGCTGTGGGCGTGACTGGTTCTTCTTCTTCTTGTTCTTCTTCACCTAAATAAATAATTTATTTAAAAATCACAATAACTAAATAAATAAAATAAATAAAATTATATTTTTGTGTTAAGTTAAAAATTTTCACCTTCTTCTTCTTCTTCCTGAGGCACGTGGTCGGCAGCGGGTTGGCGGTCGCGTCGTCTTCTACCTCCACCAATGTTAGGAGCAGGTCGATGCCTCGCCCGGTGTGGCTGCGTCCTCTGGTATCGGACTTAGCTCTCCTGCGAGAGAACTTGGCTCGACGACGGCCCTTGTGCGACATCTCCGCCTCCGACAGTCATAGAAATGTAGAGAAGGCTCTTGGCCTGTAAGACTGCGGCCTGCACCTCTGGAGGAAGTGTATGAAAGAGGTGGTCAACATTCGTTAACGTGTGATAAGCTCCCTCCATGGCGGTAGCCTGAAAATTAAATTCAAAGTCAATTAGAATGAAATGAAACACAAACAAAAAATAATAATAATAATAACAATAATAATAATAATAATAATAATAATAATAATAATAATAGAATAAAAAACAGAAATATATATTACTTACGTCGCACTTTCCCTGCTCGGCAAGTGGGCGAAAGCCTCTGTCCGGTTGGGCCACCGCGTACTTGGCAGGGTCACCGAGTAGTCTCACAGTGATACTGTGAAACCAATCAAGGTAACCCGCCTCAGGTTCAATGAATGACTCCACAGGGAATGTTGGGATAACATTTTCGGATCTATGTTCGACCCAAGCATTCTCAAGCTCTCCGTGAAAGTCCACCCAGTCAAAAACTGCCCTCCCGGTCATTCCCTGGCCTCGATGGTGTCTCTGATATTCGGTCTCAGTCGGAATGATAGGAGGTTCGGGGATGGACTGCCGACACCCGAACTGACGGAGGACCCTATCAGGCATATGGACTTCACGGACGTTCTAGTTGAAGATCCACCCCCTATACATCCAGAGGTGTAAACCTTCTGTACACTGGGTCGGGAGAGCATTCCTTTGCAAGTGCCACTGATAGGGTAGCCATTCGAACTGAAAAATAAAAAATAAAAAAAAAAATTAATTAGGAATTAAGTTATAAAAAAATTAAAACAAACAACAAATAAAAAATAATAATATAATAATCTTACATCCGTCTCAGTGAGCCCTGTCAGTTGATCTCGGGTGGTGGCTGTTCCCTTGCCTAGGTGTGTTGTGCTCCTCCTTCCCACCCACCTTAAAAATCAGTAAAAAAAAAAATTGTAATCACAAATTTAATAGTGGAAATAAAGTAAATATTAAATATAAATAAATTTTATTACCTTCCACCTAGGGGACAATCAGAGATTCTCTCAAAGTTCGTATCCCTCATTCTTGGGCGAATACGAGGGATACGTTCATATGCCCAAACCTACACATATCGACATATTCATTTGTTATTAGATATTAGTCTAAATTAGAAAAAAAAAAAAATGAATTTTAAAATAACAAGTAAATAAATTTACCTGAATCAGTTGGATACAGTTCTTGATCCAGTTTTCCCCGGACTTGGCGCTCGTGCAGAGCGCTCTATACACTCTGGCCAGGACCGTCGAACCCCAGCTGTACGTCTTGATCTTATTGAAGTCTTGCAAAAGCTGCAACCAGTAGAGGTTCACTCCATTGCCCCTCTGGTCGGGGAAGAAGAAGGAACCGATGCACCAGAGTATAAGTGCCTTCGCCCTCGACTCGTAGGTGAAGCCATGCTCTGTATCGGTTAGTCGTCGGTTGCACTCCTCTTCTAACGCATAGGCCTTCAAATATTGGCCTGTAATGGCCCAAGTCTTGGGGTCTTGAACCGGTTCCTTGGCATTCTGAGAGTGGTTTATATATGTATTAAAAATTTGTAAATGGAGTAAACATTAATAAATTAAAAAAAAAAATGTAATAAAAAATTTACCTGAACATAGGGCTCGAACCCTAGCTCATCATTACAAAATTCTTGCCATTCAAGGGGCGTTTTATCTTCAGTCGCTCCCCAACAAGGTTCTCCATCGATCGGGAGACCAAAAAGGACTTGTACGTCCTGCAGCGTGATGGTGGCCTCCCCGAAGTCAAAGTGGAAGGTATGCGTCTCCGGTCGCCACCTTTCCACTAGACACGTGACGAGGCTGTTGTCAGTCATGACTCTGCCCATTCGAAACAACGGGCCAAACCCCGTCCTATCGATGGCATCCCAAACTCTGGGATGCTGGTGATCCAACGCCTTCCAGAACTGAGTGTCGAAACGGCGGGGTTTAATGATGCCGCCACGACATCCGCCTATATCTTCGAACAAATCACTCGACCGGTGGCAGTACTGAAGATATAGAGCGGACGGATCCCTCGGACCGGGATGTACATTGTAGCGCTGCGGTTGTGATGACGACGATGATGCCATTTTCTGCAAAAAAAAAACAATAATTATATACTACATAAATTAAATCATTATATACTACAATCAGTAACACAATCATATTCCAAAAAAAAAATTGTTGATATCCGACTTGACTGCAAAATTGAAGATGGAGATTAATCACACTATTGAAGAAATAATCTCTTGAGAAGGTGAACTTACTGTAAGTCGGTATTAATTAAAACTAATTACCGACTTCTACATAGTTACCGACTCCGGAAGGTCTTCGAAAAAACCGATATCTGAAGCCAACATAAATAAACCGACTTCAGTTCAACCGACTATCACAAAGTCTGAATATTCCAACAGAAAGTAATCATTGAAAACATCTGATTGGACCAACAAAATGAAAAGGCAATCATTGATGTTTCCCGCCGCTTCAAAGTAAAGCAGCTCAACATTAAATGCATCTTTATCCATTCCAAGGAAGAAGACAAAAGCCACCGTACTATAAATAACAGAATTTATAATAGTACGAGGATCTTTTTTCGAACACATGGTACACAAACTAAAGACGATCTCGGTTTTCAGTCTAAAACCGACTTCTGTACTCTTGTGATTATAACAAATAAAATCAAATTGAACAATTATCCTAATTTTCTTGACACCTGCTGTGTTTAATTTTAAGTTGTTAATTCAAGACAACAACAGTTTGGCGCTAGAAGGAGGGCAGCCTCCTTTCGATTGTTTGTCTTGTATACAATATAACACAAGGATGTCGAATTCTGGGCGAAACGAACGTAATCCAGATGCTGGAGTTAATCGTCACCCAACTCACACAACTGGGAATTCGACCGTGCCATCTACATCAATTGATTATTCAGCTTTATTTCAAGATCCGCAGTTCTTGAAAAATCTAACTGATTTTATGGCACGAACAAGAATAGAACCAACTGCAGCGGTTAATCTTCAAACCCTTCTTGCACCAGTTTCGCAAAGGAATGAAATTCCTGCTACATCACATGCAACTTCGCATCCACGTACACATACATCACAACATGATATTGCAACTCATAATCGTGGAGTGGTTCCTGTACGAACACATATTCCTGAAGCAGTTCGATCAGAAGCAACTGCAGAAAGCCATTCTGGGCATCGACCACGACAGCCAACTCCATCGTTGCCCGAAATTTAACGACATGATCAACCTTCTGATTTACGACATACTCTTGAACAAAACCAAGCTCGTCGTGGGCCAAATGAGTTACGTCGTTTAATTGAAAGAAATCGTCTAAGACGCGAATCAGAGGAGCTAGAAATGTTGAGGAAGAGAATTGCTGAATTAGAAACTCGCCAAGACGAACAAGGAGAATCACCACAACGAATCCCAATGACAGAAGAGATGAATCAAGAAGTTGGAACTCCTTTGGCCCCTCATTTGACTAGGGAGCCAATTCCAACTAAAGTAAAAGTTCCACAAATCGGCTTATATGATGGAACTTCCGATCCTGATGCTCATCTTGGTCAGTACACGTCTTGGATGGATCTTCATGGAGCAAATGAAGCACTCAGATGTCGGATGTTTTCCTTAACTTTGGGACCTCGAGCTCAAAAAT